GACTTTACGGTGTTTTTAATGGGGACTGGTTGAGGGGATTGATTGATGCTGGCCAGGCGTCATCACTGTGCATTGGTGCACAGGAAATACTGACTTAGCACGGTCATGCCCGCTTGGAGAGGAGCTGGAGGGATGAGTGGAGTTCCCCTGGGGGAAGAAGGCCAGCAGGGAGGGGTCAAGGTAGCAGGGAGGTTGGCAGGAGAGGGCCTTCCATCTGCACGGGCCGAGCTGCACCCAAGGGGTGTCTGAGGAGGGCCCTGAGCTGGGGCGTAGGTGAGACTTGGGGAATGGCTGCTCTTGTGTGTTTCCACCTGCAGGGAGTGTGTCTGCAGGGCAGGCTGGGGCCATTACTCACTCTGACACAGCTCTGAGGTCATCCTAATGGTCAGCAGAGTGGAGGTGCTGAGTAAGGCGAGGAGACGGCTGTCGGGGAGTGGGCTTCACTGGGGAAATGCTGCTGGCCGGAAGCCGGGGCCAGGGCTTCCAGGTCTCTGCTCCTCAAGGGACTGGCAGAGAATTTCCAAGTGCAGGAGTCAGCAGGTGAGCATCAGACCCAGAGTGGCGGGCCTGTGCCCCCAGACAGCCTGCATGGCTGAGGCAGGTCTGCTTCAGTTTGCAGCCAGTTCTTGTTCCAGAAAGGCTGCCTTGTTCTGTGGGGGATAAGAAGGCAGCTGGTCAGCTCAGCTGGCCAGCCAGTTAGCCGGGCGGTCAGAGAGGCTGGTGGAGGCCATGTGCTCTGTGTGCACCTTTCTGACGGAGGTGCCCAGGAAGAGGGCGTCAGTCAGGAGAGAGAAGAGGGGACAACTCTGTGCTCTGGGAGTCTCCACCAGGGAGTGTTAATAGCTATGGTGGAACAGGGGCCCCCTGGAAGAGTGGGGGTGACACACCGAGCCCTAGGTGATGGGTGCCCATACAGGGCTCAGGGCCAGGGAGGCTAGTTAGCCACTAGGGTTAACCCCCAAACCAAGACCGTCTCCCTCCAGAGGCCGGCAGTGGCCCCTCTCAGAAATGCTGTTTAGTCAGACGGAACAACTTTTTGCCTATGCTCCGCTTACTTTTATTTGCTAAATACAGCGGTTTTTAAGCAGCATTAAACAAACATTATTTTTCTATGGAGGTAATGTTGGTTTACAGCACGCGATGACTCAGACACAGGATCCCACCTCCTCAGATGCACTCACCACACCACACCCACCACAGACCCCCACCGTCCCCAGCACCTTTCCCAGGGCAGACTCCATTGTAAGGCCAGCTTGCTAGGGTTTGTTTTGTTTTGGTTTTGTCTGTTTTAAATGGAATGCTAGGGGCAAACAATGGGCCTCCAGAATGGACCTCCAGGGTCTGCCCCTCAGGCTCTCTTCCCACACCCAGAGAGCAGTGAGGCACCTAGTCTTCCCCTCCTCTGAAAGTTCATGGAGGGCTGTGAGCTGACTGGAGGGAGGTGGTAAGCGAGTGAGAAGTGGAAACACCTCAGCCAGCGGTCTGGCCCCTCCTTCGGGAAGGGCTGGACCATGGCTGGGGGAGGTGGGCACAGCAGGGCGCCGGCAAGACCCTCCCCAGGTGTGGCCAGGGCCCCCAGAGCCTCCTGGCAGGCTCTGGGCCCCCAGCTCAGCCATGGAGGAGATCCGCACCCCAGATGCCGTCTGTTCAATGTGGGCTCCAGAACCTCGCCTCCCACCGCCAGCTTGGTTTCTTCTCTCACCTCGGGACTGGCCTGTCATGTGCCCACAGAGGGGGCGGGAGAGAGCCTGGCTGTGGCTGATGCTCCTAACAACAGTGTCCGGGAAGGACAGATGTAGGTACAGAAAAAGCCTCTGGTTTTGGAGCTGCGTCACATGGCTCACACATGGCTCACACGGCCCGGTGGCCCCTGGGGGCTGGGTTTGCATTGTTTGAGCCGGTGGGGCCTGGCGGCAGCTGGGCTAAACAAGAACAAGACTAGAATGTCCCCACACTGCTCTCTGGAGATGCCTCCCAGCCTGGGCGCCGGCTGCTGGCTTCCTGCTTTGTAACCACTTCTCAGACCACAACACCTGACTCCTAGTCCAGTGCTCATTGGGACACGTTCTCTGAAGGCAGGGAGCTGTGCGGGCGACCTGTGAGGAGCAGCAGTGAAGGAGGCTTGTGGGGAAGGCAGGTTGTTGGTGCCTCGGCCCAGCAGTGTGTGGGGGCCAGCAGAGGCCTGTTTTGGGGCTGCCCAAGGGTTTGGGGTTTGGGCCCTTGCAGGCTGGGAAGCACATGGGCAGCTGGCCTCTGCACTGCCAGGCTTGCAGCAGATGTGGTCACACCCTGGCCGGTCACAGCCCTGGGGTCTGGAGGCGGCCAGTGGTGGGGGAGGGGCAGCCAACGAGTCAGTGGAACTCGCTGCCTCCTAACTGCTCCGCTCACACCCGTCTCGACTGTGTCACCTCAGGGAGTCAGGACAGGGCCTGTGCTGCTCCAGCCACCCCTGGCCACCCTGGCCAGAGCCTCAACCCTTGGCTCCTTCCAGAACTCTGCTTAATGCCCATAGATTGCCTCGGGCTCCCCTGGGTCTCTGCTCGGCCAGCAGCCTGGGCCAGGATGAAAGCAAAGCTGTCAATAATTCATGCTCTAGCTCCCCTCACTTCCCCTACTTGGCTGGCTGTAAATATTTCACGGGTTTCAGGGGGCAGAGATGGCCCGACAGAGACTCCCAGGACGGGGCTTGAAGGAAAACTCACCCTTTCCTGAGGACACTGGCCACACCCCTGACAGGAGTGGGGGGCCTGGCCTTGCGGGCTCTGGTGGGATGAGGTGCCTTTGAGGCCCCTGGCTGGGCCTGAGGAGCAGAGGCAGGGGTGCTGGGAGCCAGGCCTGTGGGCTGTATTTAGTGCTTCTTCCTCACCTCCCTCACCTTTTTGGCTTCTCCCATCCTTGACTGGAGCGCTCCTTACATCCCTGCTTCAGGCCTCCATCATCTTCTCCCTGCTTCAGGCCTCCATCATCTTCTCCCTGGACAATCGAGACAAGCACTCTGTGACCTCACCCAGCCTGAGGAATGTCTCTAACACACAAATCTGAGCCTTCCCTGGCTCCAGGGTGCCTTCAGGGAGACCCACCTCACCTTCCTACCCCACATGCAGGCCCGTGAGATTTGACGGAGACCTGACATCCGAACCCTGGAACCCTGTCTCCTAGGCCTGCTCTTATGCTCTAGTCTAGTCCAGTCTCATATCTCGTGCACCCCCATGCTCTTACCCCTATTGTCCCTCTGCCAGGGGTGATGTGGGACCAGCCTTAGGCCTCTGTGTCTCCACACTGGTCCTGGGGTTCACTCTGCTGTGCCGGGAACAGGCCTCCATCCTGGGGTAAGATGCCCCTCCCTGTCATGAGCCTGGGCCAATTTCCAGCTCCTGCAGTTGTCTGAGACTTACTGTGATGCACGTCCCAGTTTCTAAGCCCGAGTACATGTGTCTATGATGGGCACAGAAATATCTGCTCCCAGTGGCATGGAGACGAGGTCTGTGAGGCACACAGTCAGCCCACGGCACAGAGTAGGTGCTCTGGTCTTGGCAGCTGTTCCTGTGAGCATGCCCTCAGGAGGCAGAAACCGAGACCATTCTGAGGAAGGGTCCAGGGCAAGAGCAGAGGCAGGGTACTGGGAGGCTGCAGAGGGGTCTCGCGGTGGAGAGTCTGGGAGGCCCTGGGAAAGTGAGGGAAGGAGGAGGGTGCGTGGTGGCAGACACTACCCAGGTAGCACAGAGCTCGTCTGCCAGCGGGCACTGGCCACTCACTGGCCCTGTGCAGCTGCCTCAGAGGACACGGGTTTCCTGAGCTGTGGACATGCAGGCAGTGGGCTGAGCAAGTCCCCGCTGGTGGCCACAGCTGCACAGAGGCCTGGGGTGCAGAGGTCTCTGGGGCCCATTGGAGGGGAGCCACAGCCGTGGGGCTGTGGCCAGGACCCAGAGGGGCAGCCTGAGGCCCTGAGTGTGGACTGAGGCGGTGGAGGAAGAGGGCGTGTGGTCAGGGTGGGAGAGCTGTCTCAGCTCCATCTTCTTACCTTCTCTCATTCATTTCCGATCCTTTATGGAGGATTCACTAGGTGTCGGATAGCAACCACATCAGCCTAAAAATAGCCAGCTCTTCTGTGGCTCCTACCTTCTACCCAGAGGTAATTCGGAGCTAAAACAGGGTGCAAGGCAGATCTGAAAGGTGGCTGGCAGGGAGTGGCCCTCCATTCTGGTCGTGGGGGGTCGTGGGGAGATGTCTTCTCAGAGCCGGAGAGGCAGTCAGTCTTTATCCCTGCTCCAGGGACTCTCCGTCTTCCTGCTGGTCGCTGGTCTGAGGGACAGGGGTTTCCCCTCAACCCACCCCCGACTCCCCCCCAGGGTCTGAGGTCTTAGTGGTGGAGGTGCCAGCTGGAGGCGGCAGTGAGGACTTCCCTGGGCATGGGCCCGGCTCCTCCCATCCATCTGCATGTGTATTTAGAACTGAGAGAAGTTTGCTCTTCCCACCACCTCTCTCCTTTCCCTTTCTCTCCAAAAAACAAAGAAGCCCTGACCGGCTTCTCCCATCCATGCTGCTGTGAGTAGCAACACGGCCGGCCATCCACGCAACCATCTGCACATTTAAATAATGTTTCTCAGACCTGGGACCCCAGAGAAGAAAGGGGAACTAGTTAGGTCTCCCCATCCTGAATTCCAGCTAGTAATCGCCATGCTAAGACATTCCTGGCCCCACTCTGACCACTCCTTTGTTGAGCAAGTCACTTTTCCTCACTCAGTCTCCTCTTACGTCACAAACAGCAGCTGATACAAGTGGTCACAAAGACCCCCAGAAGGTGGCCAGAGCATTGGGGGTGGGGGGCCCATGGAAGGCGTCCAGTCTCTACACACTCATCATCAGCGTCCACCTTTTCCTCGGCAGGGTGGAGTGGACGTTCTTGCGGCTGGACCAGCTGCGCAAGTGCCCAAGAGGCCCTGTAGGGAGCAGGCGGCCCACAGTGTAGGCTGCAGGGGAGTGGACTCACGCTAATCAGCTGCATCAGTCACTTCAGAGCTGGGTCCTTGAGCCCAGCCGCATCCTGGTTTCTGCGGGGTCTCCCCCGCGGCTGCTCGGGCCTCCCCAGCCACTAGCCTTCGCCTTGTGAAGGGTAGAGGCAGGAAACAGCAGCTAATGAAAAATTCAAACGAACTGTTAAAAAGCCCTGTCTGCTTCCGATGGGATTCTCTGGGCTGGGAGGGGATGTGGGGTGGCCTGTGGCTACTGTCGGATTGTCAGTCGCTTGCTTCCTGGAGGACCCAGGGCAGGGTCCGGGAGGATGGGGAGCTTCCTGGGCAGGTGGCCAAGGCTGCTTCTCTGGCAGCTGCATTCCGGGGAGGGGGTGCTTCTGTGGAAGCGCTGGCTTCCATTGTGTGAAGTCCACCACCTCTGCCTTAACTGCAGTGTGGGTGGTCAGGGCTTCAGAAGGGGGTGTGCAGGGAAGAGGGACGCCAGAGGGCATCCTGTATATGGCCAACGGCATCCTGTATGTGACCAGAGTGATCCCTTTGGGATGAGGCTGGGATTAGTAAACCACCTTTGTTAGGCTCTGGTCTGGAAAGGGGGCATTAGGTGGGGGTGCCCTGAGAGGGGAGGAGAGGGGGACTTACTTCCAGGTAGGGGAAACCAGAAATATATTTGGTAGCCAAGGAAACTGGAGGTGAGTTATCTCAAGACATGGTGACTGGGGATGAGGCCCTGAGGGAGAGTTCTATATAGGCCCAGAAAATAGGATAAGGGGAGGTGAGGTGTGGGGAGGTGAGGTGTGGGGAAGGTGAGGTGTGGGGAGGTGAGGTGTGGGGAGGTGAGGTGTGGGGAAGGTGAGGTGTGGGGAGGTGAGGTGTGGGGAGGTGAGGTGTGGGGAAGGTGAGGTATGGGGGAGGTGAGGTGTGGGGAGGTGAGGTGTGGGGA